AATTGTTTATACACAGACTCCAAAGCAAAGAATTAGTCAGACAAAGCACATATATCAAAATGACAAAGAGCATTTTGTGATTTTGATGAAAAACCTTTTACATCTGTTCTCAAGCAAGATATAGTAAATGATTAATTTTGACAAACTAGTTGATTAATAAGGAAAAAATGCCAGATCAAACAAATAATTGTTAGTTGCACACTGGGCATGGACTTTACAAAGACATCATAATGAGGTATGCTGTACTATTCTATACTAATAATTTCTATATACAAAGGTACAGCCATTACAACCAAACACACAAAATACATTAAATAATATATTAAAAAAGCATGTTTGTGTAATCCCCTTTCACACTTAAGGCTAACTTCTTAATTCTTAATATTAAATAAATTAATATCTTCACCCAGCTCCCAGTGTCTCAAGGTTTCCGCTCCCAAATTCCCCAGGAGCTGCACTCTCCCCAGTGGGATATAAATAGGGAAAAGAGCCTGGACAGGGAGTAGGAGGGGGCACACAGAGGAACACTTTCAGGACTATGAGGGTGGGAAGTGCAGAAAGGGGAAAGAACCGGCAGCTGCAGAATCATCATTCAAATGTGAATAGTATGTACAGACTAGAGGAGGCACTTGGAGATGAAATATGGACCAGGCAGCCCACCCAGAGGACTCAAATGTAGAACATCATGGTAATCAAATCTAAATCTAATCTGCATGTAAATGCATTTTCAGTATTTAGTTTGTTTTGCAGGGAGGGTTAGAAATAGGCCAAGAAAGAATGAATATCATGGTTACAGCCATTGCTAAACCAGTCCTATGGGATCAATAAAATTATAAATGATCTTATTTCCCATTTTGTCTTTCCTATTCCAGTTTTTTAATGTAATTTTTTTTATTCCAACAGCAGTGACACACTTGCCCTTCCTGTCTCAATCAACCCCATGCTGTAACATGAGTGGCTTCATGGGTGAAGTATCTTGCCCCAGTACAACTACAGGCCATATGTGAGGTTTCAGTTGGCGGTTGGAGGCAGAAGTCACTGAACCACTGTTGTCCCACCAGCCACTGTCATCCCACCAGCACAGCATCATTAAACATTTAACACATTTGTGGCTCAATTAACAAAACTTAATTCACAGATTATATTTCATCTCAAGAGTTTATGCCTTTATGCGTGTGGTGCATTTATTATACCTATTACAATGGCAACAATAAAAAATAAGCTGTCATTTCAGGTAAGGAACAAGATGCACAAAGAAACACTTGTCTAAACTGTGAAATGAAGGGGTCACTGTTGGGACACAGAGATGTTGAGATGCATAAAAACATGAGACGGAGTGAGGTGGCTTTAGGAAACCACAGTCTAGTGTCTAAATATAAGACTAAACATTTAGCTGCAGTTAAAACTGTCAGAACATGTGAAACAAGACCTGTGATTGACAAGTTTGCAGATTCTAGTATTATGTATGTTGGGGCACAAGTTTTGAGTCTGCCCATAAAAGCTAAGTTCAAACTAACTTTAAAGTGCAGATTTATTTGAGTCACAAAGCATGGGAGTGTGTTAGATCAGACCTAAAAAGTAGTAAGTATACTGTCAAACTTCACAAGCCAGTCCAGGTGGTCAAGATGTTTGAAGGAAGGACAGCAAACATACATGACCCCAATGTCTCATTACTGTGATGCACAAAAATTATCTTTGTGTAATGTGCTTCTGTACACTTGCTACTCCATCTTTGTTCACTTTAGGTAAGACTCAAATTCCCATGAGGTAATAGCTGCTGGTTTACAGCATGTTTCTAGGTGAACCCTGCATCATACCTCAAACAGCTGACACCAACTCACAACCTCTGACCCCTGGAAGATGTGTTATCTCAGCACACAGGGATGGTGACCATTAGTCTGGATGCACTGACAGATACGTTTTCCCCTAAAGGACATGATTTTGTAACTGAAAAGGAAGCTAGAGGTCATCCAGTGGACTATATGGAGTGATTTGACAGCTCAGCATCTTTGCTTTGGCTCCACTGGCATCAGCAATATTGCAAATCAATGTCCATTACAACAAGTTGGCAATCCACTTGAGTAAATCTGACAAAAAATTACTCCTTTTTAAATTATAGGCACCAGGCATATTCACTGTGTTATTTCAGGTATGGATTTGAACAGAGATTACACAATGACAGACTTTGGCCATTACTTCCTTTCAGATGGTTCCTCATTTTCTTAGACATCAAAACAACATTTGTCAATGCTTGTCTCTTAAGCTTCAGACCAAAGCTGTATTTTCTGCTCCTAATGCAGTTTTAAATCTTTATCTATGCTTTGGATTTACAGTGACTTTGACATGAACCCAAACAGGAAAGCAAAGTAAACGAGATCCTCCTTTTACAAAAGCTAACAATCTGGTACAATAAACAATGGTTTCTTGGGATGACAGACTGTACCTTTTCAGAAGTCCTTAGTCAGATGGGCAGAGGGGTGAATTTGAGCACAGATAAATGACAAAACTGTATGTGGGTGGACTCTGATTTATTAGGCGCTCACACTGCAGCTCAAAGGGGGAGGACAGCGATTTACTAGGAGCTTGTGAAGAAATCAAAGATGGCTGACAGCGCTGACAGCAAAACATCAGGCCCAACAGAGAACCTGAAGTATAAAGAATTGCACGACCATTTATAAAGTACTACAGTGATGTTGGTATTATAGCAATCTATTGATATAACATGGCCAATGCATTTTACTCTCTAAGCCACTCCCAAGCCTGGATAAGAGCCAAAGTTTGAATACGGAAAAGCACCTGATCTAAATCAATATGATCCATGAATTCAGTGTTGATTTTTTTCTGACTCAAGGGAAGAGGACAAGACAAAAAGTAAAAAGAGAAAAATGAATTGCATTTATACAGATCTTCAGACTAATCAAAAGTACTGACAAATATATGTACACCATCATTTTTTGAATGATCAGTGCAATCTGTTAAACAGACCAACACTTGAAAATCAAATGGTGCCATTAAGAAAACAGTTATCTAAGAGAGAAATGGAATACAGACAGAAATAATTTTAAGAGGCAATTATCATAAAAACCTTTGAATGTGTTTGAAATTGCTATCATTTGCAGGCCATTAGTCGTGATGAGTACAGGGTCTGCTTGAAGCTAAATGTGATTTCAACACAGACAGTATGTTCAAAGTATTAATTAATTACAGAGGGGGTATTATGTTTACAATGATTTTGAACTTAAAGCAGGTCTTCCTCCTCCATATTTCAGAAGAGAAATGCCCTCATTGAGCTACAAGAAAAAAGTAGTTTCAAAGTTTTACAAAAAATGTCTTTCTCTCAAGACATAGAGTTTACCTCAAAATAACTTTGACATTAGAATAATCTATTGAGTGCTTTGGCTATTGTGTTTCTTACACTAAAATCTGAATTAGAAAGAGCACAATCTGACAATCCAAAAATAGACTTCCATATTTGTATAACCTTAAAACCAGACAGATATGCAGACAAAATCTAAATTGGACCCAACAGATTAGAGCAGGGGTGTCCAAACTTTTTTCATCACGGGCCACATATCTAAACACAGATGACACAGAGGGCCGATCGAGGGCCATAGACTGATGCTTAATGCAGTGAATAATTGAAATATTTGCATGTTTAACATATTAGAGTGAGCTGTCAGACTTTATTCATGCTAAGATCCTTAAAACCACACACTAAATATTAATTATTAGCTTTATCAAGGTAAATAAAAAAAATAAAAAAAACTTGCAATAAAATTTTTTTTTAGTTGATGTAAGGTAATTTGGGCCAATTCACTTGGAAGCCTGAGGGCCAAGAAAAATTTGTCCAAGGGCCGCATTTTGCCCCCGGGCCATAGTTTGGACATGCCTGGATTAGAGTAACAATGCAGAACCAGCAGTGCAAATACAGGGTATGTTGAAGTTTGACCTTAGTGTTATGATGTGCTCATGACTCCTGGAGATATACAGTTCCTGAGGGATGAGAGGGCTGCAGGAGGCAGAGTGGAGGTGAGAGGTGTAGAAATGCACCATTACCAAGCCAAGCAAGGTCCTGAGGTAGGTTCTTGGGGGAGTCCAGTTGCTGCAGAGTGAAGCTAAGGCATTGGTGGCATTATGTACAGGCTCTGTAGGCAAATCAGGTGTCTGGGGGTGTGTGTCTGTAGTCACTAAGTCCAGTGACCCGGGTTCTCTAGGAGACAGAAAGGATGATGGACAACTTGAAAAAGGCAAGGACTTGGCATGACTCCAAGGAGGCATTAAAAATGTCTGTGAAGACAGGAGTTAGTGTCTCGAGGGTAGAGGGGGAGACACCAACCAAGCCTGGAGCTCTGTGGGCTACAGTGTCCTAAACAGCCTGTTTACATAAATTAGGCGCTTAATGCAATGCCATAGTATCCTGCATCCGATAAGTGATCAAAAAAGTGACTAAAGAAACTATTTCCAAGCCCACACCTCTGTCTATAACCTACTGTTATATTTTTTTAGTCAGTCAACAAGATGACAAAAATAGTGTCTCTCAACACTTGCTTAAGTCTTCACCACTTTAAAATTCTAATGCAGCCTGAGTTTGCAGAACCAGCTTCAGACTAAATTTTGCTTTGCTGTGAAAGGTTATACCTTTGACAATGCTTTCTAAAAGCTATTTTGCCACAGGAAGTGTTTAGAGCACACATCCTCCAAATATCATGTTATGTGACACGAACCTAGTTTCCTGCTTTGTAAACTCATGTTTATTACTACTTCATATTCATCTTAATTCTTCAGTGTATTTCACTGTAAGCATCAAGTCGTATATAATCACTGTTCAGATTTTACAGTTGATATCTGTTGTTGGTTATTGATAGCTTGTGTGATCTGATACATTTTCCGGTGAGCACGTTAGTTGGTGTCTATATGTATCTTTATTGATTTCCTTCCTTAAAAAAAAAAAAAAAAAAAACAGAAGCTGAAACTTGTGAGTAACTGTCTCTCTGGTGTGTGTCTGTGTGGGGAGATTCATCTTATCCTCACTCCAGGCAGGGTTATCCAATAGCCTACACACATGCGTGGACTTTGTTACTTGATCCTGCCTATTCTCTCCCAAGGTAAGTCAATATTTTTGTGCTTTATTGTAGTGTGGGTGGAGAGGCTGGATCTTTTTAAAGTGTGTAAAATAATGATAATAATATCATTGTTCTTGCACAGTTTATGGCAGTACTGTGAGAGTGGTAGGCATCATTGGCCACAATGTGACACTTCCATGCAGCTATGATGCCCTTGCCTATGGATCTTTGAGTTTTTGTTGGGGCAAAGATAATGTGCCGATATTTAAATGCTCAAATACCATACTGTCATGGAGGGATGGAATGGTGCAGAACTGGTGGGGGCCCCGGTACCAGCTGAGTGGGGCTCTGGAAGATGGTGATGTGGCACTGACCATCATGAACGCAAAGTGGAGTGATGCAGGGATTTACGGCTGCAGGGTGGAGATCCCAGGACCATTCAATGATCTAAAAGTCAATATGAACCTGTTCTTAGAGCAAGGTATGCAGCTAAGGGGAAAAAAAATATTAAAGTATGTTAATTAATAAGTTACTGTAACTGTGGTGTGTTTAGCTCCAGAGGAAGACCCAACAGTGAGTCAGAGCTACAATGAGCAAACGACAGAAGGTACACACTGTTCGTCCTACACTATTATTCAAATAAGTATTCTGATTGTTATTTATTAATTATTTTTATCAGCACAAAACATTTCAGACGTTATAAATATATTCTTAAACATTTCAGGTATTGAACTACAAATGCATTTTGACTTGACCTGACCTGATAATATGTGGTCTTATTATTGGTAGGGATGATCACAACTTCTCCATTTGAGAGTACACAAGGAGCACATATTTTAAGAACTTTCACCAGAGAGGTATGCTTTTTATCCAATATTCCTTATAATTCAACACTTAAAGGTTACAGAGCTCTCTGAATGGTGACCCTCTGTTCACAATCAATACTGCACAACAAAGGAAAAACGCAGAAAGTCCGTATTTTGTCAAAACTGAGTTAAGACCAAAAAACTGCTTCATAATTAGTTTTTATTTGATAACAAAATTTTGTTGATAAAAAATTTGCAGTAAATACAGTCTCCTCAGTGATTCAACGGAAAAGCGCAAAAACTGCTGCTCGAAATATTCTAACTTTTCTAAATGTACAAACACAGATATCATTCTTTTCTGTTGTTTTACTGGAGAATTTTACACATACTGAAACATGTTTTGTTCTCTAATTCTGAAATGGCACAAAATACAGACTCAAAACTTTCACAATTACTTATTCAACACACACATTAAAATAATTAATGTTTTTGATGGTAAAACATCTCCCCAAATTTGTTGTCTCAGACCACCTCATTTGATATATATTGATATATGAACTCATATGGTAACACATAAACACTGTTATGTGTGTACCTCTGACATAAACAAAAGGACAACACCTAGTCATTTTTTCAAAAAAGTCATTTTTCTCAGTTTAACTGTGCAGATACTGCATTTTTCCTTTGTACGGCAGAATACGGGGCAGAATGAAGCCAATAAAACTTTGTAATGGGTTTAAAATGCTGTGTACAACATCTTGGCTGAGGATTTACAAAATAAGCATTTGCTTTGCCAAAACCTCATTCAAAAATCTAAGACAATTAAAGTGCAGTGATGGATAATTTTGCTGAAGTAATAAAGTAGTAATTTACCCACGTGTACATGTTGACAATCTTCTTCTATATTTATACATTCCAGGAATTTAATTTCCTCAGTTTTCTGGGAGTGGAAAACATTGGCAGATTGGCAGCGGTTTTGCTCGTCACCATAATCCTAATCCTTGTCTTTATTTTCTGTAAGTGTGAAATGGATTATAGTTTGTGATTCATGGCATTGCTGATCTTTTTCATTTGTAGTTTGTCACAGCTGAAAGTGGCCCTGTCTTTGAATATCATTTGAGTTGTTAATTTTGTGACTTCTTTCAGGGAAAAGACTGCTGCCTACAAAAACTATACAGCAGGTTGAGACGTCAGCACCGGAGAACCTCTATGAGAGCATACCAATGCATTAGTGATAAGTAAAAATAATGAGAGGACACTTTCAGACAAGGCACACATCTGAGGAGAATTTAAATAAGCAGTTTTGACATTGCATTTCAATAAAGAGAGGTGCATACTTTTCTCAAGCTGTTATAAAGGCTCCTTTGAAGAGTGCAAGAGATAAATGTACTTAGTCTATGCGATTCATACAGGCAAATTCAATTATTGTGATGCGGCAAAATAATAATAGATTGGCCAGAGCTCATCGAAGGGTCGATGAGGGACCATTGCCATCTACTGGACAGAATTTAAACTGCTCTTTAAGAACAGAAAACTAATTAATTAAAAATGTGCAAATATATGTGGATTTTCTCTTGTAAAGTGTGTTTTTAACATTTTCTTTTACTTTAACTTTATACATTTGTACTGACAAAAAAACAAAACAAAAAAAACAAAAAAACAATAAGGCATATAACACAAATACGTTCAAACTGCCTCAAAATGTTATCAAGAAATACATTTAAAACTGTCTAAATAGTGTAATCCCCAAAATACATACATGACTAGGCTTGTCATGATAACAAATTATTGTATTACAATGTATTGCCAAAGAAACTACAGATGTTAAATGATAATGCAACTATTTCATGCGACTAACACAATAACTTTAAAGCAGGATTATCCCTCCATAAAACTAAAATGTACCATTTTTTTTTAAATGAACTGCAATAAATAAACAGAAGAATGCAACACACACATATATAGTATGTATTTTATATCTATAATGAGTGATAGAAGTTATTAACAGTATCTTCTACAGCTCAAATCATAAAGTCAAAAATTAAGGTTGTGCAAAAATATTGAAATATGGATATAAGTAATATGGAAATAAGTAAAAGTAAGGAACGAACGGACCTCCTGAAAAGAGTTAATCGGGAATAGAGGGGGGGCTCATTTGTTGGACTAAGTGGAACAATGGATGCCATATTTGTGTAAATCCATCAGAAGAGCCACAAAGTGTCATTTTGATCTTCTCAAGTTTAAGAAAATATAAAACATCCCTAAGCCACTGTGTGAATGATAGAGGCTGTACTGACTTCCATTTTAGTAAGATTACCGTCCTTGCAAAAAGGGTCATAAAAGCTAGAGAGTATTCTCAGAGTTGGAAAAGGAAGGTAGCCCTACAAAACCTTCAAATAAAGCACTCAAAGGATTGAGTGAACTTTCTTGCCAATAACACTTGAAATTATAGAAGAAAAAAAAATCAGTCCATTAACCAGAGAGTCGTGGACACAATTTTTTGGTATCTTTTAGCTATTTTTTGTGTCTCACTACTATCTTGTTGCTTATTTAATGGAAGGAAACTTGTTGATGCAAAACACTTGACACATTCACTGTTTTGATCAGTAAAATAGATGTATTTCATATTAAATTTGCACAAGTAGTGGTTTAACAAAAATACTGTTGCTAAAATGTGTTCGGTTCTTAAAAAACAACAAGATATTATGTACAATATATCGATCATCATATGTATTGCCATATTGTGATACTGTATCAAGAGCTATGTATCTTGTATCGTATGGAATCGTGAGGGATCCTGTGATTCCCAGCTCTACCAAAACTAACTAAACATTTCCCACTAGAGCAAAGAAAAAGTACACATGATAAATACTGTCATCAGAAGTATATTGTTCCATCTATGATGTATTGAACTATAAGTATATAGTATATAGTATATAGTATAGTATAAGTATAGTAAGTAAATAATTATCATGACAGGCCTATGTGTGTTTTTTTTTTCTTCTGGACTGGATATTATTTGATGCCAAACATTGGAGCATTGTTAGAGTTTGGATGCTGACTGGATTTATTAACTGACTGTAGGAGGGATGAAGAGGAAGTTTTCCACCGCTTACAAAATATTTTGTAAAGTCAGCACTGACTCAACTCCATGACTCAAAGTAAACCTTAATTTAAACTTTTAACATTGTCTGACCCTATCGAACTGGAGTAGTCACTTTTACATAACAATATATTTTCTCATTTATACAACACTCCTGCAGTGTTTGTATTATTTTATGTCCTTTAGATATGAATAGCTTGAATGTGTAATTATTCACTAATTTATTTTATTAACAGTGATGGGAAGAATACTTTGATAATGTATTTAGTTCCAGGATACTGAATACCTGAATTAAAATGTATTTTGTAACATACTCTGTTACATGATCTAAAAGATGTTAAAATCACACAAGCACTTACCACAAGAGCAAAGATTTCTATTTTTCTCAAATTGTGTGCAGTTTGAAGCCTGAATTACATAATCAAATATCATAATGTATTCCTTTGATTTTGGAAAAGTAACTGTATTCTAAATACCAGCAAATGAAAAACCCCACACTGAGTATTAATGGTGTAGAATGTATTATTATTAATATTGTGAGATAGGGTTGGCACAGATTAATAAAGGGACAAAGGAGTATTGTATTATGTGTGTAAAAAGTGTGTTTTGTTTTTTTTACTTAAAGACTCTGGGTGTCTGGGTAATGTTATTCCTTATTTTTTTACCCAGCTTAAATTAAATAAGATAAAACTTTCTTCTAAAATCCAAATAATGAAATGTGGCTCCTAAAGGACATTAGCACTTTGTCTGTGCTTTGCCAGATATTTAGAGGACATGCTAAAAAGTAAAAGAAGAACTACAGAATTATATATTCAAATAAACTTGAATAAATAAAACAAATTCTCCATATTACCTTCTGTAAAGATGATATGTCAGCATCTTACAAGGGATGTGCAACAATTGACATTCTTTTTTTTAATGCACTATAAATACATAATTGTATATGTACTGTGATTACAATCGAAACTAGTACAAAATGTGAATTGAGTGTTACATTACCTTTGTTTTTAATCCTGATAAGCAGCATTTAAATGACCTAAATACATCTATCACATCTCAGTCCCTGACCTTGCCTCTGTCTAGTCATCAAACAGATACTTTGCCACTTGTACGATAAGGAACCAAAACCACAGAGAAGGAAACAACACTTTTTGACATTCCTCCTCTAAACTGCAGAAGTTGTTTGTGTGGGCAGTATCAGGGTCAGCGTCATGTGATTTGGAAAAGTTTCAAAGCACAAACCACACCGTGCTTTACTTCAGTATCTTTCAGCAGGTCATCTAGGTACCACATGTCTATCAAGATTCAAAATGACTGAACTGAACTGCTGTTTTCTCCTCTGCCTCTTTCTAGGTAAAACAACAACATTGTTCAAATTGACTTTAAGGAGTATCTAGTTAAACGATATTTGTTTTTAGGTTCTGTGTGTGCAGATAGCCTTGAGGCCTTCGTTGGACAAGATGTAACAATAGCATGTAACTACGACATTAAATATTATGGGAAGCTGGCAGTTTGCTGGGGCAGAGGTCCCATCCCAAACAGGGGTTGTGCCAATGAGGTGATCAGGACAGATGGGGCAGGAGTGACCAGCAGGGCATCCGAAAGATACACCATGTTTGGGAATCTTGGGGAGGGTGATGTGTCTCTCACTATTAGGAATCTACAGGAGACGGACTCTGGGACATACGGATGCCGCGTGGATATCCCAGGATGGTTCAATGACCACAAGCATGAGACTCTTCTGAATGTAGTACCAGGTAGATATAAGTTGTATTATGATTTATGGCTCATAATACTACTACGACAATTAACATTTAAATTTTATGTATGTATTTATTTAGTAAGCTGTATTATAATTATTATTACTATTGTTTTAATGTTTTTTTTTTATATATAGGGTTTAGGTTTGGTTTGGTTGCAGGAAATGAAAGTAAATCAATAATGTCACAAAAAAGCATGGAAACCCAAAATAACCTATACTTACTGCATATTTCACCCATATTCAGCTCGTCCAAATCCCCCCAAACTGGAGCCTCGGGAGGTGAAGGAGGAGGCCATCACTGTTCGCTGGACCCCTGTGTTTGATGGCGGTCGGCCAGTATTATTTTACAGGATTGATCTGAAAAACAAGCAAGGCATGAACAAACTACACCCCTGATTTTAGTTATTCTGCAAAGTGTTAAAGATACAAATTCTAACATTTTGTCTACTTTATTTTTGCAAAGCTCCTTGGGACACTGCCATCAAAACAGAGCTGGATGACCATAGCTTGACCCAGGTCACTCTGGTGGATCTGCGTCCAGCCAAAACCTACAACCTGCGGATGTTTGCCATCAACAGTGTGGGCATCAGTGAATCCAGCAATGTGCTCTCCGTGACAACCAAAGAAGCTGGTACTCACATTTAAATGCAGTTGTTGCCTGATATGTGATATTCTTGACTTTAAAATGTTTTAATGAATGATGAAAAAAATGTATCGGTTGTTAAGTATACTGGCAACAGTTCAATTTAAAGGTGCTCTATGTACATTTTATGGAGCTTACTTTGCCTTGAATGTTCCACAGGATCTATCATTTACTATTCCATTAATATTACTATTTCTTTTGATCTCTCAAACATGCCTTGAAAACATGCATTCTAGCTGTGACCAGGTTCTCCATGTTTATTTATTTGTTTGTTTGTTTTTTAAAACTACTTTTTGCATCTTCCAATACATGTTTTTCTGAACTAAAAACACTTGCATCTCCCCACAGCCCCTCAAGGTTCTCCACTAGAGGTGAAGCTTGAGGCCCTCTCCTCTAGCAGTATCAAAGTCACATGGAAGGTATGAGCCAAAATATAAAACAATCACAAGTGTTTGGGGAATTTGCTCAAGGGTAAATACTAGCATTTTGGTTCAGGCGCCAAGTCCGGATGTACGAAATGGCATCATTAGAAGCTACAGGATCAGCTACAGAGAGTATGATCCAGTGGACAGACAGTACAGACAGTGGCAGTACGCAAGTGTCATTGCTACAGGGGAGTCCCAGTCCTACATCCTGACCAACCTCAAATCAGCCACCAGATATGGGTTTTTGGTTCAGGCCAGGACCAGCGCAGGGATAGGACCGGCCTACACGACATCCTTATGTGCCACACTAGAGGAAGGTACATATATAAATTAACATTATCAAAAGGTTTATTATTTCTTACAAAGGAGTTTAGCATGTGTCCTTGTTCTATTACAGTCCAGACTACAACAGCACCAACTGTTGGGACAATTTCTCCGAGTATGACCAAGTTGACTAGTGACACTTCAGGTAGTCATATTTATTCTCTGAATGCATGTAGCCGTTGAATAAAATGAAATAAGGAAGTAAAACTGTGTATCTAGCAGATAAAACAACAACAATAACAACAACAACAACAATAAAAACAACAGCGACAACAATGGAGATTCCTAGGACCACCAGTGAAAGTGCCACAGTGTGGGCCTCAGTTTCTACAACTTTCAACTTAGGTATGACCAATATTATAAAGCATCTCACTACACTTACTGATGTTTCTAGAGTTTAATCCTGCACAATATGTAAGAAAAAATATTACAATAGTATTTATATCAAAGATTTTTTTTTGATCTGCTGTGTTTTTATATACATCTGAACTAAATGCTGTTTGTTATCCTAGACTCACCTGAACCTCCTGTAATTCAACTAAAAAGTGTGAAAGAAGGTGTAATTTCTCTCTTATGGAGACCTGGGTCACAAGGTTCTAGCCCCATTATTGGCTTTTACTTGGAGTATAAAACTCTCAATGGTATGAGTTCACAAATCATTTAACACATTTAACTAACAAATTGTAATACATGTATAATTATACTTAATCCTGTTTGTAGCCTCATGGGATTATAGGAAGACAGTGGGTTTCAGTCCCAATCAAACAGAGGCTACCATCATAGAGATAAAACCCTCCACGTACAACATCCGAATGTTTGCTAGAAATATTGTTGGCAAAAGCAAAGCCAGCAATGTCCTCACACTCACGGTGGAGGAAAAAGGTGATATATTTTGGATTTAAAATGTGTTTCTGCCTTTTGAGTTTTCATGTTATGTGTTATCAGAAGTTTTAGGTGGACACAAGTCAAAAATAATGTCTCATTCTCACTTTTTGCAATATGGCAGGTGTGAATCCAAGTCACACTCAGCAGGACAAACCTAAATAAAGTCATGTCACACTTTTATTCTAACACATACACAAAACATACACTGCACGAGACCACTACTCTACCCATTTCTTTAGTTTCAGTTGTCTTTTTCTATTTTAAAAAGCACACATTGTCTCACTAAAACTAAAACTTCCTCTTTAAATTTGTTAAGGTCGACAAAAGGATTTGTCAGCCTCTACTTTGTCCCCAGACACACGTGCAATTGTAAGTGATTTCAAAGCACATCAAATTTGGAAAAAAACAAAACAAACAAAACATTAACAAACCTGTAAACTTTTGGTGTTGCAGAGCGCTGAGGACAATCGCAGTGGTCACCTTGCCGCCATTTTGATTCCATTGCTGATGGTGCTGATAATTGTGGCTGTATTAGGAACATGGCAAATTAGACGTGAGCATATCATTATAAAAAAAAAGTTATCTGCTTAGGTCAAAATAATAACATTTACAATAACACCTGTTATGTTTATTGCTTACAGGGATTAGACAGAAAAAAGGCACTCTGAGCATGTGAGTATATTTGCAGTTCACCAGTGTAGGCCTACTACACAGGTTACACATGGATATTGTCTGTAACATTAACACTGTTAACTGACCATGTCTTTGAAGGTGGCTTGACAGTGGTGCACTGCGTTACAGAGGAGCTGGGTCACTCCAGGAGTCTTTATAAAACACCAAAGAGCAAGTTAGAATGAAATATATAATTTAAAAAAAAACTATTAACATTTTTGTACAGTGTGTCTAACCTGAAAGTAAACTCAAATGCTATGCTACAGAGAGATTATTATGTTTTGTGTGGAGTGTAAGTGCTACACCACCCAGTGTTCAGCAATAATTCTGTTGTCAACTGTGGCAGGTTATACACCATGTAGCCTGTGTATGCTCAATAAAGATTACATGTTTTCCTGTTGTCCATATGTCTGTCAAGAAATTGATAGATCATAGTGTTACCTACACATTGTACTTGACCAATTGATCCCTTTTGGTAGCAGACACACATTTATCCAACATACAAAAGCATTTAATGCCATAACAAAAGAAAGAAATGTTCCTAGATTTTAAATGTATGTGGCATAGGCTACCCATAAACTAAACCTAGGATAGGTCAACCTTGTGTGACCAGATGTTCCTCAGTTTTAAGTCCTCTGTCCCCTGTTGCAGCAGATTTACACAAAAGCAGTAATTTGTCACAATTTTATAGAAGAAATTTCTTAGGTGTCCCTATTTTTGACCAAAACCAGGTCTAAACCAGGACTAAACTAAGAATTTAAGCCGCGCGCGGCGATGGTGGCCCCCTTTTTTCACCACCAGAGTGCGCCAGAGCTCCACTTTTTAACTCCTGTACTCTCCTGAGCGCTCTCCTCTGGGTTTCGCTCTTCAGCCAGCTGGATTCCCATCCATCTGTCCCGTAAACGTCTTAATTGTCCTAATGAGAAGCACAGAGGAGGGAGATGTGATCGCCCAAAATGAGCTTTGTGGCAGCTGCCTTCGTTCGATCTCCAGTTAGGAGCGGGGTCTCCAGGGGATAGCCTATAGGATCAGGTAGTCCCAGTTATAGTGCATATGAATACAATAAATGTTTGGACAGACATCTTAGGACTGCCAAAAATCTGACTTTTAAGACCAGCTCTCACAGGCACAGATCGTCTTACTGTCTGCAGTCTTGTCTGGCAGCTGACAACAGACCACTGATTTGGCCTGTAGGTAGGTAGGATATTTCACTTTGTGTGGAGATTGCTCTTGTTTGTTTCACTGGTGCTGTCCTCTCCCCGGCTGTACCCCTGCTTCTAACTGCATCTCCGTGTCTCTTGTCAACAGTTGGGCCCCGCTGATTACCTTATGTAAATATATGAACAGTGGCTGAAGGAAGCAGTGGTTTGAGACCTTTGATGAGGCTGCTTTGATTGGTTTCACAGTGTGGAATATTATTTACCTTTCTGGTACCACCAGGCTTGTGTGTTTGTTCCTTGTGGAAGTGAGCGCCACCAGTCAACCACTACACAGACCGTAGTCCATACAAGGCTGTGACAGATAGACACAGAACGGAAACTATCAAAGTATTTATAACATCAATCCACCACATATTTTGCTACTTCCTCATAACTTCCTCTTTGTTTAAACATCTAAGGCTTTGTGTTCATAGGCATTCAGATATGTGTCAGCTGTGTGCAGTAAAGGCAATAAAGTCAGATGCAAGAGGAAAAGTGCACAAAGGAGGGAGTCACAATAATGGCAGTATTAGCCGCGTGGACACACTTAGCAGAGTAATAAATCAAACACTACTGTAGCCACATCAAGGCAGTCGGCCTCAGGAAGTGGAGATGTGATGGTGCCACACATGCACCAAAGACGGAGCTCTGCAGGAGGGACTGGTCTCCAGGCCTCGCCGCTCCACAGCGGATGCACAGCCCTAGGCCACCAGCCGCCAGATGTGGGCCCTTCTGGAGCAGGATGAACTTGTGAACACCACAAAAAGGAGAGCATTCAATTCACAAACAGAACATACTGGGTTTGAAGTAGAACTATAGGCTATTGTATTGCAAAAAGGACCAAAGGACTTAAAATGACTCAAAATCTGAATAAGTTTGTGTAATTTGACTAGCATTACTTAGCTGCTTGGCCTATATTGGTTCTTGTACTTGTTAGAAGAAAATGAGACATTCTCAGGTAAAGATGCACTATGTAACTTCTCAAAATGAAAGACCATGCATGTTTCCTGGGAAATATTATTGCTTTGATGAAATGTTTCTTAGTGTGGAAGTGTGGGTTAGATGATGGCCATGTCAGCCCCCCTACCTGCCCTCCCACCCCTACGTCAGACGCTGTACAGGAGCCGGGCACAGTGGATGGTACGCGGGAACTGGAGACATGAAGTGATTAGGTACACTAAAGCTGCAGAGAGCCAAGTTGTTGTCAAAGCTCCTTAAGTTGTGCAATTAACTGTTAACTGTAGCTCTGCATTGTATATTTTAGTTGTTAGAGCAAATGAATGAGAGCTGTCAGTGAAATGTACACAAACTCTGGATTATACCTCAGAACCAAGTGTACTTAACAATAACTTATTAATAAATTCAAACTTAAAATCTCATGTTTCCTCCATTTCAGTCATACAGACTTGTGCCTGTGGGTATAGTGCAGAGTAAATTTGGTTCGATTTCCCTGCTTGGGATCGTGTTGTTGAGTTATAATGGAATTTCTGTAGACAAGCCTAATTAATTGTATCTATGCCCTCTACTGGTCACAATAGTATGGTAGTAAATTAATTTATTTCCATGAAGACAAAGAGGTGCAAGCCAGATCTGTGGAGAGGCAACCGTGCTCACAATAAGAATACATGTGGCATTTTTGTACAATAAAAACACCTAATTAAGAAAATTCAAGATTGATCAGTTTAATGCCATACCGTGGAACATTTCAGGCAAAGCAATAGCATCTTTGAAAACATGCATGGTGAACGAACCATCAGAAACGTTCTGCAGTGCAGCTTTAAAAGATAACTTGAATACATGGTGTGAACTGTGTGTTCCTATTTAATAAAGACTTTGTGACAAACCTTAAGTTGCAGACTTCTTCTTCTGTGTCTGTGATGGGAGCTGAAGGTGCGTTTGTGTGCACTGATGTGATTTGATGAGCCAACCTGAGCCCGACGAAGACAGAGCCGATCTGAAGGTCAGACATAACAGTTACCATGGAGACATGCCCAAGTCCACCACGAGACATGTATGGTGCTTTACTGTCACTTTACACACAGACTTTATGCACTCCTAAAATACGCAGAGCAAAAGTACATGGATGAACAAGAGAATAGCCACTGACCACAATCTTCAAATTTCAAAAGTGAATGTTTTAATATGCTTTACTTCTAATGCAAGATCACACAAAATAGTTTCACTGTAATTGATGGAGAGATCGAATTGACTTGAGTGCAGCATTATTACTGTGGTGTGATGCTTGAGTGTGGAGATATTTTTATCACTGTGAAACATATCTCTCTCATAAACTGAACACATTTTGAAGATTTATCATGGCATGTTATTATTGAGCAGATCTTGAGCTAAGTGGTAAAATTTAACACTCTCCCAGGTCCAAGTTTCCATAGAAACACAAGACCATATATTGATGTACTGAGTTTATCAAATGCTGGAAAAAATGCATTTGGCAGCCAGTCATTGAGGACAGAAATAGCCATACTGACATGCCTGTTGCCTTCCTTTTGCACACCCATAATCTTTATTGCTTGCGGATATTTCCATAAATGTTTGAACATCCAAAACCCTATCTTGTACGATTTGTATCACGTGTCATCTTTCATTCAGGCAGCATTAAGAGTCAGAGCTGTGCAGAGAGGTTGAGGTTTTAATCTGGTTAAATTTGATTTCCTCTTGCCGCTATAGCACCACTCACTTGCTTGTTTCATACACCTGCCCAGAGGCGAGTTCTCGTCGAAGATGCCTCATTCGAAGATCGTTGTTTTGGCAGCGGAACACAGTCAAGTCTGGCGGAGCTGAGGGTTTGGGACCAGCTGAGGCGCACCGTGAAGAAGGCTGGCACTGCTGAATGGGAGCAGAGAGTTGAGGGATGCAGGCATAGAGAGGTAATCACATCAGGGGGATTAGTGGTGTTATTAATGGAGGATAAGGCTGTTTACTGCACGCTCTCATACACAGCACAAACTGTCTCATCCATCCAGAGACATTATCCACTCATCTCCCACCTCGGCCCAGATCACCAAATGACCCCAACTTTAAAGCGCACCTCTGTCTTCTATCTCCCTCACATGTGCCATTCCTCCTTCTATTCCCACCCTGTCAGACTGTAATTCAATTACACAGCTGCCTCTTCTCTCCTCGTCCAACCTGAGCCCTAAGGCGATGTGTTATGATTTTGGTTTGTAATATTCTCACTACCTACTTCATGAGAGAGACAAATGACGGGCTTCTGAGCGCATATATCTGTGTGTTTGTGCTGCATGCCACCTTTTGAAAGATGGCCACTCAGAGGTGAACAAACAAGACATTTGTCTAAAGTCTTGCATCACCTGAGGGAAGACTCAGTGAAAATGTGCTTTGCCAGGTTATCTTCTGTTGTTATTTTCACTCCACTGGTGAGTCACATTCCAAAGTCTATGGTGGATTTTTTGCCCAAAAAACTAAATTTTCAACTCAAGAAGAGGTACTGTTACATGTGGACCGTCAAAATAACTTTCTGAACTACACTGCTACCAAACCAAAGATCATTTGCATTTGTGATTTTCAATAAAATAATTATTAATGTGGGCTAAAGTGAAAAGTGCTTGCACAGTGTGACACAATGTCTTGATAGTGGCAGGATGGCTGTATGAGGCTAAATCTCCACTTTTACACACACTTTCATCAGTGAGAGCAGCAGATTCACCAGTGCACAGTTTCATCATCAGAGTTTCACTGCAGTGACAAACTCTGTGGCTCTGCCCCCAAACTGTGGAGGTGCCGCAGTATGTCAAAGGTGCCACATTAAACAAACATACACTTTTGGAGTATTGACGAAGAAGAAGAGTGCTGTTAGGCATTGAATGAACTACGCGCATACATTTAACTATGATCAAATAATTGAGTTTCATGCTCAGAGTTGCCTGCAAGTGCTCCAGACACACCTTCCTAAAGAGGGCTCTATGTCTTTGAGGTTACCTGAGTGACGATGGCTGCAGTTACATGCACACTCAAAATCAGAATATTATCTGAATTATGGAGTTATAATCTATGACAAATATAAACAGCAAACTCTTCTTTCTGATCATGATTTCTCTCATTACTCACATCAGATTTTGCAGTTTGCATTTAATTTAGATAATTTTGAAGGTCAGGAAATCAGATTATTATCAGATTTTAGTATGAATGTAACTGCAACCACTGGTAAGACGCATGGAGAAAATACATTTTGAAACAAAAATGTGATAATTGCTATTATTGGTTTATTTGGTTGAGACTGTGCATGTTAATATCATGTTAACAAGTCTACATGTTATAGCCTAAACATATATTATGGCTCTCACAAACACATTCGCCAACATACACGAATGTATTTTGACACTAGAGGCAAGGTGAATAGTGTCTTGCTCAAGGACACAACAAAAGTATGCATGATGCCCCACAGTAGCAACAGTCTGCATACCCATTAACCAGGCACAATCCTTCTTCGCTTCTGAAATCAGACGAGATCGGGCATTTTAGCCTCAACAATTATTAGATACAGTGCAATGCTGCAAGTGACTGAGCTTAGTGGCAGTTTCAAAATGCCACAGTCAGGATTTGAGCCAAAGGGTTGAAAACTTGAAACTGGTCAAAGTTTTGGTAGAAGATCGAAATACAAGAACAATAGTGCACAATTAAAGCATTAGGCGCAATTTTAAATGATTCCAATCTAAAGCCAATATTCAAAGAAAGTATTTGACTTTGACTCAAATTAAGTAAATAAACAAAAAGTCAGCATTGTTTTCTTCTAATGTTAGTCCTTATGAACAGAGGGATCTGGTGTCTTTGGGGAAAACACACATGCCACATGTCTGTCAGTGCTGCGCTCATAATCACTTCTATCCCTACCGCGCTTCTCCGCACAACCGCACAACTGAGCGATCCCTCCAAATGCTCTCTAAGATTAAGGCTTTGTGTTTTACATGTGTTATCGTAGCTCGCCTTCGTTATCCCCTTTGCTTTGGTCTCAGCCTCCCCCTCTAATTAAAATCTTGTCCCTTTCATTCCTCCGCGTGTTGTTCTTTCACCTGTGAGAGCGCGCGGGGAAGACGAGAGCGCACAGAGGAGAAGAGGAAAAAAGTACGGAAGTGAGGAAGGAGGGAGCGAGTTTAGAGGAAGATGAAACGTGCTGCACACAGAGCGAAGTGGCGGAGCGTTCGGGAAATGCGGCGTCTGAGGGGAGGATGAAGGCGCTTGTCACGTCTCATCGCGCAAACGTTACACACGCGCACGCACACGCTCGCACAACCTGATGTAGCTACACACAGAGTCCCACTGAGCTGCGCTTTGAAAAGAAGAAAGTGTAAAGGGAATGGAAAAGAAGAAAGAAGAACAAGCACCAAGAAGCCACCGTGTTGGATGTTTCATTTTG